GTGCGGCCTAGCATTGTCCTGCTGGAAAATGACACCTTTACGATTGACCAATTCTGGTCGCTTTTCCTTGACCGCTGCATTCAATTTGTCCAGTTACTAACATTCACGGATAATAAAAAATAACATAATAATAATGATAATAATAATGTTATAATATAACATTTACAGATATCATAAAAATGGGAGTGAGAGACGTCTATAACTGAAATCGGCAATTACTCAGTTGCCTATCCAATAGTTAATGCAGAACTTTGGTTCATTGTTTTGTTTATTATCGGTCATTGTGCTTGATACATTGAATAAATGTCTTTGCAAGGCTCTATTAATTGCTCCATTAATCTACTAATTATGCAACGACTTAATAATAAGGGAAAAAAGGAGGGCATTTGGGCATTTGGTTGAGCATTTAGTCTATTAACAAAAGAGTACTTCTATTTGAAAAGCAAGAAATATGCTAGATATAGACACTGTATTCTATAACCGAAATCGGCAATTACTTAGTTGCCAACCCAATAAAAACCCCTACATGCAAAAGTAGTCGCACGAACAGAGCGTTAAAATGCAAAACGATGTCCGTTGTTAATTTTAACATCGTCGAATAAACCTTCGAAATTGTTTCCGAAGTTGTTGAAATACTTTTTACTCTACATCGTCGAAGAAACCGCCTTTTATATAACGTAAATTGACTGCTGTATTGCTAAATTCGTCGTTCTCCGAGCTCCGAACAGCGAAATAAATGTCTGCTTGTGTACTTACATTTCCCGTTAGCCCAGAAGATGGTCGTCTTCAGCATCGAGATCGTGATCGAGATGTTCGCCATCGACAAATTCTCCACCAGCATGTACATGTCGCTGTAAACAACGGGGATGTTGGCGGTCTGGGGGATGCAGCAGAAGCATAGCATCATTAGAACCGGGATCAGGATCACGTAGCTCGATGGCAGGTACCAATGCCTTTCCTCCGGCCAGATGCCCATGTATTTCATCGTGTAATAGTTCCATCCGTACACGTATCTCAAGTCTACGGGCGTTTGAGAATAGAAAAGGTAAAGGAGAACTATCGAGCCGTGTGGAAAGAAAGTTTACGGACCCTTTTCGACCGATCTCGAGACCATCGCTGGAAAGTTTTTCGACCAAATGATAGCTGTTCTTTTATTGAAAAGCTGCCACCTCCTCTGTTACTCCTCTCGCGCATGCTCTTTTTCGAACGCGTTCTTCTTCGCGGCACGATGATCGCCCATCTCTAGATCAGTACGAACAAGGGAATACGAAGTACATCGTGATCCGAGGGTTTCTCATAAATAGAACGCGTCGTTTCAAATATGCAATGGTACGGCGTTCTTCAAAATTACGAGAAAAAGTGACACGTAAAAGAGATCTTTTTACGTATAATCAAGTTGGCATTGCAAATTGAACGAAGGCATCGATAAAAGCACTGCGAAATTATTTCATCTGGTTCTAGGTATAGTACAAATAATTTTGTTGATGTATTGTAATAATAAATTAATATATTAATTAAATTAATAATAAATAACCGATAAATTGTATAATTGCATTGTACGATACGCGAGCAGACTGCGTATTATTATGCAAACTGAAATTATTATGAAACAATTGACAAAAACCGAGAATTACCGCAGTAAAATTTTTTCATTTTATTTTGTGTACCTTTTTGTACAAATACAATTATGACTTGGCATTCAGTCGTTCATGTTTCAAGGCTAAATTAGATGCTGCAAAGCTCTCGATTTAAAATAAAATAAACTTTTAGTGGACTTCTAAACATTCAAGGAAGA